TAATATGTATATCTTTGTATCTACTGCCCACTATTTTTTTTCACGACAGCATTGTGTGAAATGCAACGTTGAGATATTTTCAAAACTTGGACCCCACAACAGATCCAACCGCTATTTTTCTTTTTGGCGGTTCACGTATTATGCACATCACCAATGAGGTTCTCATTCCAACGTTTTCTCAGCCAGTCCCTTTACTACTCTGGTGTAATCAGTATATCAGCGCAACTGAATGGGGTAATTGATAAATATTAAGTGAGAGCAGCACTTGTGGTTTTATGGTCGACGTGAGAACGGTTTATTACTGTGATGACAAAATGTCAAGAGCATTGAAAAACGACTAGTGTCAGGGGTGGAATTGAAATAAGAGATGTGGGGTACGTTGATTTGCATAATGTTGTCACTTGTATTTTTACATGCTTAAATTCAGTTCTCAAACGTCGAACATTCCCGTAAGGAAGTAGTGTGTAAGTTGTTCTACAGTTACCCAAGAAGGTACTGTACTTCAACGAAAGATTTCTCAACACCATCACGAAATGTTTGGCGTTTTATGCTCAAGTTGTTAGTAACTTTAAATAACTGCAACTACAAGGATGCTGAGATATGAGCAGAAAAAAGAATGAAGAGAAAAATGACTACGATATTTACTTACTTGGATGCTTGGATGACCCATCTTCACTGGTTGTGTGGGCCTCAGCATAATTTCCTTTTTTTTGGAGTTTTGTTAGTCTAATCATTGAGGTTTTTTGGAGTTCCATGGGGTCGTCACCACCACAAGCAGTTGCCGCCTTTGTGTATCAGGATGGTGGTGAATTCTGGAATTGATTTAGTCTTATTTTCCTAATGGTTACGTTGATACTACGATATTACTTTAACGAACTAAGCTGCTGGGTTATTTGACATACAAGCAACTTTCACATCAACTATCTTCTTCTTATCTTCTGAATTCGAGATCTCATACTTTTAAGAATAAATGGTCGAAAATTACTATAATGGATCCTTAAGTAGAACAATATGGACTGGTACGTTTTGTGTGACGTTTTGCACAGTTGACAGACGTGGTGACGACAAGCCGTAAGCTTTTTGTCTCGGAGCCATCTGGTAGGCTAGGAGCAATGTCGACTGAGGGGTGGAATCGTTTATTACAATAGAGGAGCTATCGACCTTCGATGTCTTTACCGCCATTGCATTCACGGTCGCTCTGCGAACATCTGCATTTTATCGTCATTTCTTTTCACAGCATTCCTGTTAAAATAGTAATCTATAAGGATACTTGTTATCTACATCTTCAACCTATAGGTGTTGATGGTTTATTCTCACGAAAGCCATTTTTATACCTGCTTCGTCTCTATCCACGTTCTACGTGCTGGGGCGGGTCAGATTGTGTTAGGACGAGAATTCCACGAGCAAACTACGTTGATGATTAGTTTAGGAAGCATTGGTTTCCTCGTTAAGGAACGTAGTCTTTCATCTTTTCATTTCTTCTAGCTTTCAAACCGTTTAGTTCACCACATTCTTGATAGCTTCATGGTGGTGTAGCCATTTTTCCCGGAATTTCTTACTTTTTGTATATTTTCTGTCTGTGAACGAACACTGCAAGACTATCTATGTTTGTCCTGTTAGTTCCTTGTTTATGCATCGAATTGTTTCCTGGTCTTTTTCTCAATGTTTTTCTTTCCTCGTTTTAACCAATTTCTCTGGGCCTTATCATTGATGTTGCCTTCCTCGAACGATAGCGTCTGTATGCAAATCTGAATGTTTTCGTTTATGCATTTAAGATCAAAATCTTCCTGAGTGAACATAGTCTTTTTTGCGTACTGATTTCCGTTGAAATCGGGATGAATGGAAAACTCTGACTGCTAATGATCTATTAGAATTGTGTCGTTGCATCAGCGGCGTGTAGTCTATTTTCGAAGTCTGCTTGTTGGCGAATGGGGTTTTCTTAAACATGTTTTCAAGCCTGTGATGGTCATGGGTTGATGTTGTGTTTTTGAATTGGATGCAGAAGAGCTGACTCATTCGCGAACATTAAAGTCAGCGATATAATGTGGTGTTTTTTTCATTACTCTTCATCGAGGACGCTTTCGAAATCTCTCCTTCTCCATTGCAGACCTCTATTGTTACTTTAAGCTTCGTCAGTTTTTTTTTATTTGACATCTTTTTCTACGTCTATTTCAGAATCCGTTATTCAGTCCCGTTCTTACTCGACATCGTCGACCGAATAGAATGCGTGGCACGACCAATTCACCAGTGAGTGTAGAGTCCGCTGAAGGCAGTAATGGATCCACGGAAGGCACCAGTGGTGGTAGTAGTTCTGAAAGTGCTAGCCCCAAAGGAACAGCGTTAGTTTCAGATGTTTTTAGACTTATGTATTCATGTAGTCTCTCGTATATTTTTTATAGTTCCAAACACTCTTATGCGCCGTTTTCTATTTCCTCGCTTTCATTTATTTCATTCGAATCATATTCTAGGACACTGTGGTTGTTATTCGCGATATTACTTGCTTTCTAGTTGCTCTAGATATTTGCTACTGTTTGTTGATTTTTCATTAAGAAGTTTTATTTTATGTATTTAGGCCATCACCTATTCCTTCTGTTGTCGTCAGCCATGATCCATTCACTGTAACGAAATCGATCCCTACATTGAACAACAACGAATTAAAGGTAGGTACTTGCGTGTATAATCGTACTTACCATTTGGTTGTGGTTTGTGTGTTAATTGTGATAGTTAACCATGTTTGTTATTATGTGTTTTCTACTTTTGTTATACTCTAATGGAGTTCCTAAGCCTACAGTCATACTAAGTATTAATAACTACGATAAAGCTTTCGGCGTTGATCAATCTCGAAAGGATGATCTATGCGTCCGACTTCATTAAGCATCGTTAGAGGTGGTTGAATGCATATCTGGCTTTACAACGCCTCACAGTGGCCTATTGATGTATCCAAACAATGCTGCGATCTTCCCAGACAAGTCTGGTACCAGTTTACCGACCCCGGAGAGATGGAGGGCTTAGTGAGCCTGTAGCGTAGCGATCGATCCCATATGTATTGCAGGGCGTCTTCGACCACTGCGCTACGCGCACGGGATGACTAGCTGCATAGGTTGAATAAAATGTTTGATCTTTGCGTTGCAATGCTGCTAAATTTGAATAGTCCTTTCTGTACCTTTCGAGGAACCTAAATGATGTTAGAGCACTGGTTTGAAACAACAAGAAACAGGTGTAAGCCGAGTACGTTTCTTTAAAATTTCCATCGCGGCAACACGTTGCAATTTTCAGATCCGACGCGCCCTTGCTGCTTCACCTGTCTACCTCAATCAAACACCACAGTCAAATTCCCGCTTCTCTAAAAGACTAGCCGAGAAAGGCTGTAAAAAAACTGAGGTAGTTTTCCACTCCTTATTACTATGTACTTTTATTGCTTGTAAATAAAACGTGGCGTAATTATACGCCGTACTTGACAAACATCCCAGTCCTCACAGACCCTGATGGTCTTAGAACGTTCTCCCACTATTTTGTTGTTCTTCAATCATCTTCGAGATCGCATACGAGTTCGACTGCGTCTCGATGATCTGTCTTGCATTTCCGTCGAACAAATTGCTTAATCTTTTCGGAGGTGTTCCTGGAGGTAGTTTTAGTTATCCAGCGATCGGTGCCAATGTTCTTGTCTTTTGGTCCCCTTGTTTTCCAATTATATAATAGCCCATTGGCATTCGAATTCTGTTTTTGAGACGTATTGTGTGAGTTTCGAAGATACAATATTCTGTAAATGGAAAAGCACAGCGTTTAGAGCATGCTTAGTGTTAGGTGCGCCATTTCATCTACGGAAAACATCACTCTCGTGACATGTGTATGTTGTACGGAATTCTTTCGATCTAGCTTAATATCAACCCATTTTTTTGTTGCGTAGCACACTGTGTTACGTTTTGAGTGAGCGCGTAGGTTGGAATCAAAGAGCCTTCTCCAAGAGGCATAAAGAGGACCCATTCTTCTCGTTTTCCTTCGAGTGCAATAAAATCGTTGTAGTCGTGTATTGAACATCCAAGAAATGCTTAAGATATATGTTCCTATTGGATTGGTTCTATTTAAGACAATCACCGCAAGGCAAAGCTTCCTTCGTTGAGTTTTCGTCATTCCTTGTTTTGAACTGTTTTCCTTCTATTGATTGCTTAAAGATGCCCTGTAATACTTACGAGGTCTTTGCTTTGATCGAGCGCCCCGTGCTCACTAAACCTCCCATTTGGCCGGGGTTGACAAATTGGTCCCAGATTTACCAGGAAGGATAGCAGTATTGACCTCATACATCGGTAGGCCACTGCGAATCATTATAAAGGCCAGATTTGCATTAAGTCACTTTTATCAGTGCGTAGTGAAGTCGAATCCATTCCGCATCCGTCAGAAAGTGATCGATTCCGATTGCTCTATCCGTTATCTCTTTCACTGCTTGTTTAAGTGGGTTGCACTGGCACAGCCTTTTATTTTGTGCTAAAGGATGGTGCATGAAGTCCTCCACTGGGTGAGTGTTCACGGCATTTGCACGTGTGACGTCATATGTGCTGTTTTAACACGTCATCCGAATCGGCTTCTTGAGCAGTGCCAAGTCTCAAGCTTCTGATTTTTCACTTCTGCGGTGGTGAATTTATTCTAGTGTGGGTGGAAGGATCTTATATATTTCGACTTCTGCACGATGTCCGCAATGATGTATGTCCGGAAGAAATACAGGTTGTTACCACCGGACATTATCATTATATATCCACCATCAGCATCGTGTATAAAAGGGCATCACTGAGTGAGGATGCCTCATTCGAGAAGATGGATCACTGAGGAAGACCTGGCTCGACACGAAGGCGAAGCTGCAACGTTGAGACGAACAACAATCATGGACCATCGACTCGGATCATCGGCTCTGAGGAAGACGAAGACGTCGAAACGTTAACCGAAAATAAATATATTTATCAACCTCGTGCAAGCTTATCAAGAAAGAATGCATATTGATCTTATATATGTCTTCTAGATCGGAAGAGTTCTTGATTAAAATAAAGTTCTTAAGTAAGACGTCCGCCTGGGCGATAAATCGAGATAGTTTTTCGATTTCTCTACTTGGTGAGCAGTTGTATAATCTACTGCTTCGATGTGCTTATGAAAATCCGTATTTATTTTGCTTTGTTGTTCGTCCTCACCACATTTATGACGCTGTCCATTTACTTCAATATGTACTTGACCAACAATCAAATAATGAATCTGTCAGCTTTAAACGAATCAATCCCAGCTCATCACCCATGCCATTTGTGGTCTTCATAGTCAAGTAACTAAGCTGTGATTAAAGTCAATACACCTTTTGGCATTCATACGCCTATCATCCTGTGAATCTGCGAATCTTGTAAAGCGGCGAGCACCTTTGTTTGCTTTGCCTCTCAAGTGGCGGAAGTTTTCTTGCGAACTAAACTTTCCAGATTTCTGGAGAAATGGTGATTCTTTGGTAATAGACGTGATGATGAAGACGAGATAGCATCTTGTACTCTCCCCGTTTAATCCGTCAAGCTTCGAAATTATCCTTCGTGAAGCATGAGAGAACGCTTCGTTGCGCTTCAGATTTGTCCTTTCGGAATTCTAATTGCAACTTTATTTTGATACCTAGCTACACCAAGAGAGATGAAGTCTATGAAATGAATGGGCTTTTAAATTAATCATTTCACTTGACGGCGTTTAGTCTTCGGCCTCATTCATTTGGTTGCTCATGAACTTTATGAAATGAAGTCACGAGGTCAACTGTACAATGCCGTTTAGTAGAGGAACAGTTTGCTCATCAAATACGACCTTCATGTCCATTTGGAAACAGATTGGCGTAGAAACTACAACATTGACAAAAAGAAAATTGTTTCGCGATGTCAGCACAAAAGTGAGTCGACCATAGGCCTTAGCGATTTGACCACAAAGACAAGATTTTTTTCTAAAACAAGGCGTTAAGGCTTCAAGGAATGAAAACCCCGTTAGTTAAAACAAAAGTTAGCTTAAACACTGCCGTTGATTGTGTGCATAATAGGTTCGTTCTTTTTTCCCAGGATCTCCTTTCAATTGAAGTTCGACGTAAAGCTGAAGCAGGTTTAAGTCATGCTTCCTCAATGCAGTCCATTCGTGGTTCTGTCGGGAACCTCTCTGTTGGATGGCGGGGATCCGTGTCGAATCTCACTGAAGAGTCATCGTATTTAAGCCGTTTCAGGAGCACGGTTATTCCTTTATTAGCCTTTTTCCCAGTATTTAGTCAGTGTTCTTAAGAATTGTTTATTTCAGGATCCCAAATTTCGATCATTCAGTGCTAAGACCACGGAGAAACAGAAAGAGGTGATCGATCGACTAAGTCGATTACGTGAAAGTTTGCGCTCAAAAGGGAGTTTCACAGAACGCGATCCTCATTCGAAGAATCGGAGTGATGTAGACGATATCAACAGCAGGATTCAATCTACCGTAGTATTCTCTAGTTCTTAGACTTACTAAGTTATGGCTTTACGTTTAACTACTTTCAGTTGCTCTTATTATTGCCATGTAACACTCCATGCTCTCTATATGTTTGTCATGGTATCGAATTAATCCTTTCCTTTTTTTGCACATGCATATGTTTGCCATATCTATTTTTCATTTATGTCCTGCACATGCTCATTATCGAAGTCTTCTCGCTTAGGGCTAACTATCACTTACGTTATTTTAAAGGGTTCATGATATGTAGATGAAGTGACGACATCGACGAAGTGATTGAGGCGGAATCACAGAGTGGTCGTACTGATTAACAGAGTCTGTCGATCAGTATCTGTCCTGTGAATGCTTCCGTGCTCTGCTTTTGTCGAAGTTCTCGATGTAAATGTAGCATGAACAGTTTTGTAACGTCTCACTTGAGATTTTGTTAAATTCCTGGGATATTTTCTCTCTTTTAACGAGCATACATGTAATATTTTCGTAACGATAGATTAGTATTTGTGCCACTGTAAATATTCATATTCCCATGTGAATGCAGTTACTTGAAGAGCTTCTGTTACATGCTGAGCAGACGTATCTGTTTGCTCCGAAGCTTCTTATTCTCCATGTTATACGGTTGTTTCCCACATTTTGCTGTCTCTGAATTGCGTGTAGAATAAAAATAATATCGAAATCGTGATTGTGGGAAAAAACTTATGGAGCTGCAAAGTCTGTTGGCATTTTAGTCAAATGAAATTGATCACCTATTGGATATAATCCCGTCTCTATATGGGATTCTATCATTATTCGCTGATAGGTGGTGATTAGCCAAGAACTGGGGTTTCTTGTAAAACAGGCATGCTTTCTTATCAGGAAGAGACAGGGATCTCATGTTAGATGAATATTCAGAGGTGATTTTCTTCTGAATTTTTATTGTGAATAATTATGGTGCCCTGAAGTGTCGATAGTCGACCAGTCACGACCTATCACGATAGGAAGTCGTAAAAGTGCCTGACTCGTAGATGACGCCTTTAGAGCCTTCACCTCGATCGAAAATGTTTCGATTTTGAAACGACGAAATGTCAATCATAAAGGTATTCGGTACTCGTGTGATTATCTGTTATTGGATAAATATGCTTTGTTTTACGTTAGAAATGGCTTCTTGATCCAGCTAATGAGTTACCCATGTACATTTCTATGATTTGGTAGTCATCAATGTTCATCGAAGCGAACCACATTGGAGGCCATTGGGAGATTAAAATGCAGGTTCGTACTTTTTTGCATAGTGATGGTCCTATAGTTCATCTTTATGAGATCACTTTGAATATATCGTCGAATGAAGAAAAAAGTGGAGTGGCTTTGACAGAGCTATGAAAGATATCAGTGAGGTGTGAAGGAGAACATCGAACTTAGAACATCACCAGGGGAATTCTTGCACTAATTTTTTTAACGAAAAGCAATAAGACGCATTCAGAGTGTATAATTCTCATAATTTCATGGTGTGTCAATGAATATCAATGTGGGAATTTGCGTTTCTTTTTTCGTTTTCCATTAGAGGTATCCTGCGATTCACACATGGTTTTGGTACGATCTCGTGTAGTGGCTAACTAAACTTTCCATCTCGCCGTAGTCGGAAAATTGTCACCAGACGTGGCTTGAAATATAACAGCGTTGGAAAATCGGTAGACTACCTGTAGTACCTGTACCACCACCTCAGGTCGTTGTATAAGCCAAATTTGTATTCGGCTACTTCTGTGGTGTTAGGAAAGCAGTGAAATACAAAGCGCATCTCATAGAGACTCGTCAAAGCTGAACGCCTTTTCCTTTTATCGCTTTATCTATGGTGGCTCGAAACAAAGTAAAATAAATCAAGGAGAGGAGAAGTAGCATGAATGTGACCTTGAGCCGAGTTGCCACTCAAGCACGCGATTCCTCTCAATGGTTTACAGCTTCATTGTGGCTGGGAAATGTTTTGGGTGTCGGGCTGCGATGTACAGCGATGCGTTCATCGTCTCCACAGGGCCGCGATCCATCCCAAGCTCCATCCCAAGCTCAGAGCGAGTCCAACGTGTCCATCGGGAATCCTAGGTAAGAATAAACCAACGGCAAAAATCACCACCGTCCTGGTATGAAACTAGTCACATGGTGGAAAACCCCCTTTGATCCACAAAGGCGGTGACTGCCTGAAGTGGTGACTACCTAAAGAAAACTTCGGCTTGGGTGACCTCCTGTCTCCAAAGAACCACAATGGCTAAGCCAGGAAATCTCCCGGGAATAGAAATTATGGTGAGATTCGCTCAACCAGTGAATACGTGCTATCCGAGTATCCAAGCATGTTTGTGATTTCCTAAGTTTAGGGATGGGTTGCGATACAAAAAACCGAGAATAAATTCCAAGCGCGTGCCGGTAGTCAACTCTGTTTTAAAATACTTCATGCGTCCATGTTATACTACTTAATGCTGATCCGTGTTGGCTCGACTGGTTCGATGATGAGAAGGGTGCCCGTGAACGAAAAGACTACTATCGTCATTCATCGACAGTTTCCGAATTTATTTCCACTTGTCCACAAAACTTGAGATGCTTTGCTCTTGATGCTTTACAATTGCCATGTCTAAACGAGTTACTTTTGCTTCTTTTCTTCATATCCTTTACTAGAACGAAAAGCAACGCGTAGAATTTATGTGCTGAGATCAATGACAGTGAGAATGGAAATGAAAGTAGTCATCTGGCCATTGTAGTTTGGAAGCACTGAATTTCTAAGAATGTCAATGGGAACTTTCATTGATTGAGAACTTTGGTACGGTACCTTAGTTAGTCATAAACTCTGAGATTAAAAGAAACCACAGTGATGATTAAAATGACGTGTACTATAAGAATGATTCGATACACTTTTGACCGAACGAAAGCCTTTAATACAACTAGTTCTTACTTCAGATCTGGATCATCGGGACGTTAAGAACACGGTTTTGGAATTGCTATAGAATAATATTTTATATGAAAATAGGTTGCATGATTTACTTTGTTGATTTAATACTACAGCAAACTATTTAGGATATACTTTTTTGGATAATAAAGCTTAGGAAGCACGTAGGGTGTGATTACGGCAATTTGGTTCTGAGAACTAATTGGCGCTTACTTAGAATTGGTTTCTCGATAGAAACAAAGTCTTTCTAATTGAGAACACGCTTTAGTTTTTATTTTCTGTCTATTTTTTGTTATTGTTGATTTCACCGAAAGAGTAAAAATATAGCTGGGAGAGTTGCAAAACGGAGGCCTCGGTTGGTGTGGTTGATAGCACGTGAGCACTCAACAAGGGTAATGAGGGCTTCGAAGCCCAGAGTTTTGCTCACATCTCAGCATCTCTGTTCAATAATTCACCAAAAAGAGTACGGATCGATAAATTACTCACCAGTCCTCATTTCTTATTGCCTCTTGTGTCTTGTTTCTTTCGAAGTGAGAAAGAGAATCTCGTTATCATTACCGTCGCATTTCTTTGTTTCAATATGACTGTTTTTTGGCGCACTTTAACTTTTTCTGCCTTATTTAGCCATCGGTCTGGGTTCATACTCTACGAGGATGGGATTAAAGAAGGACCTTCTCCTTGTTCTCACCATCGAATCCGTCGTATTAGGTGTTGTTCTTGGTTTTGTTGTTCGTCCGTTCAATCCAAGGTGATTTCAGTTTTTTTCCCGTTTTTTAAGAAATATTTACAACGATTTTTATTTCGAAACACAGACGATAGTGCAAGCCTTAAAATAAATGGTAAAGGTAAAGCTTCCACCGTTGATTAATTCCAGAAGGACTTTCCATACATTCAGCTTCATCAGGCATCATGAGGTGACTGAATTCATATCTGGCCTACTCATAGTAGCCTACCGATGTATCACGGTAGTCTACTATCCTCCCAGATATGTCCGGCACCAATTTTCCGATCCTGAAGGGGTGGCAAGCTTGGTGAACACACAGCACGTAATCGAACCAGAGGCCAATTTAGTGTGTATTGCAGGACACCTCTAACCAGTGAGCTACATGCGCTCGTGAGGCCTATATGTCTCACTTATGCCAATATTTTGTTGCTGTGCACCTCTTTTGACTTCACATCGTACTTTTCATATTTGGGCGCGTGTGGCGCCATAGTAGGAGGCGCCCTGCGACACACACATGGAATCCATCCCCGCACCCACGTGCCCATGGCCCCCAAGCCTTCCATCCCTCCGGAGTTGGATACGATAAATGAAAAGAGGAAAAAACATCTAAGGAATAGTTAACTGTGAGAACTCATTACTGCTGAGTAATAAGGTATGGTTTCGCCTTAGAGAAATGGACGTGCGGCAATGTTTGCAAAAGTGGGCGGGACCTGAGGTAATCGATTTGACCACGCCCATCGGCAGGAGATAAGAGATAAGGCGAAGCAAGGCGGAGAGGCGGAGAGAGAATGTACGAGGATATGAACAGAGGATGCGGAGGAATTTGCGGGAAGGTGTTGTTTGTGTTCCTAAAAGTTCTAAAGCTATAGGGTAATCGCGGGTTCGAAGCCCAACTGAGGTTCCGAGTGTTTCTCATATCTCGGGATCACTGTGGTCATTTTGCTAAGCTTATATTTTCCGCGCAAAAATAAATGCCCGATGAAACCCTGTTTATCGATTGTTTTACATTGTCATTCTTCATATAAGTCCTCATAAATGTGATTTCATGTTCTTCAACATTCGGAACGATTTTATATATCGCTAACTTCTTTTTCTACCAGACTGAGTAATTGGTACGAGACTTATCTGGTAGGATAGCAGCACTGGTTCTGTACATTGGTAGGTCACTGTGAATCATTTTAAAGGCCAGTACGTATTCAGTCACCTCCATACGATGCTTAATGAAGTCGAATGTATGGCGCATCCCTCAGAGATTGATCAACGCCGAAAGTTTTATCTTTTTTGGAGCTTTATCTTTCACATGTGCAAATGCTATTTTGCAATATTATTACTATTGTGGTTGTGAGTGATTTGAATGGAATAAAAGCGAACTGGTTCTTATCGATTTACCAACCGATCCGTATAATGGTTCCAAGCGTATAATGAGTATCTTAACTTTTTATTTACTGCCTTTTTCTTTTTAATGGCAGGGTATGTTGCGAAATATAACTCGTATATAATGCTGAGATATTTGCAAAACTTCGGACCGCAGGTGTCTGCGGTGGGGAACGAACGCGATATTACCTTTTTTTGGAGCTAACGCGTTCACAACCATGCCATGCGGGTTCTTTGTTTCGCTTGTCTGTCAGGCTAGTTAGTTATAGCGCGTTCGTTCGCCACCGCAGACACCTGCGGTCCGGAGTTTTGTAAATATCTCAGCAACGTTGTGGTTATAATGACTGTTAACTTTTTATTTGCTGCCTACTACAATTTTCTTCAGCATGGTATTATGTGAAATACAGCCACAGTGATGCTGAGACATTTGCAGAACTCCGGAACACAGGTGTCTGCGGTGGGGAACGAACGCGCTGTTACCTTTATCGGGGGCTAACGCGTTCACAACCATGCCATGCGGATCCCTCACTTCACCTGTCTCTCTTCTCTGTCGATCAGTGCCGTCAGCAATCACCCGTCAAGGGGTTTGTCTGAGGAGCCCAAATCGGCATTGAACCCAGTTCAGCTGAGGCTGTAGTTGAATTCACACTGAGACAGGCGAAACCAAGGATCCGCGTGGTGTGATGGGGAAAACATCAGCCCCGGAAAAGGTAATAAAGCGGTCGTTCCCCACTGCAGACACCTGAGGTCCGGAATTTTGCAAATATCTCGGCATCATTGAAGTTATATTTCGCAACATACCCTGCCATTAAAAGGAATAGGCAGTAAATGAAGCGGTTAAGATTGTGATTTTGTTTTTGTTTAAAGCTGACGTTCTCCTCACACTGTTTCCTTTGCCTATCGAAATTTCACTTCAGCCGAAAATCGGAACAGAAAAAATATTGATCATTCCCAATAACGTGTTCATTGATTGGTCGACTGAACAATTTATTGATTGTTACTTTCAGCAATGATACAATCAGTTTAATCGGATTCCCGGGAGAGATTTTTATGCAAATCGTCGAGATGATGATTTTACCGCTTATCATCTCTTCTGTGATATCAGGTGAATAAGACAACTGAAATTCGTGAACGTCAGTTCATGGAAGGAGGATAAAGAGGCACTTTTATATTAAACAATATTAGTAATGTTATAGAACCTCATGGAGAAGTAGTTTCATTGGCTTTTTTTAAGTTTAGTGTTACAAAACTTCTTGAAACGTAGTAGATTGAAAGTCCTCAATTTCTTTTCTCTCGTAATTTTTTAATAGGCTATGAATATTTGAAAAACTTCATCAATCAGCTTTGGCGCAAGTTCGAGCCAGAGATGCAAGACAAATCGGCATCGTTACTGTCATCTACTACATGACCACCACCTTCTTGTCCACATTCGTAAGCGTTTCAAATTTTTTCTATTGCACAACCATGTAAAATGTGAAGGCAAAAAGAAGGGCATGGCTCAGAGATGACTTGGGTCATTTTTGAAAGTTTGGTTTCTGCTTTTTTTTGTTCGTTCAATTTCGCAATATCATAAAAAGCCATCGATTCACTATAGAATGATTATGACTGTTTAAACACATTTACATTCTAAATACAGAAGGAGTACCAAGCAAGTATTTTTTATCCTCTCTTCGAAGAGATAGGGGTTTGGTTGATCAGGGGACCGTGACTGGACTGTCGATAATGGCCGTATTGTATGGTATAATTATTGCCCTATAGGTGGCCTAACTAGCATATTATTTGCTGTTAACATATTGACTATTTGGTAGAGATTATTGAATGCATTTCTAGATTTGGAAACTTGTGAGTAATCATGTATCATCACTGAAATAGATGTCAAATGTCCTTGAAGTTTGTCCTCAGCAATGATTTTCGATGTCTAACCAATGTCCAAGGGGCGCATGTGGCGCAGTGGTTGGAGGCACCACTTCGACACACACGTGGGATCGATCCACATGCCCATGGCCCACTAAGCATTCCATCCTTCCTAGGTCAGCAAATTGGTACCAGGCTTATTTTGAAGGATAGCAGCACTGGCTCCATATATCGGTAGGCAACCGCGAGTCATTGTAAAGGCCAAATATGCATTCATTCACCTCCAACGAGGCTTAGTGAAGTCGAATGCATGGCGCATCCCTCAGGGATTGATCAAAGCCGAAAGCTTTATCCTTTTACTTGACACTTGATACTTGAACGGCCCGTTCTCATTGGTTGTGTGGGCCCCAGCATAATCACCATTTTTCGGAAATTTGCTGGTTAAGCCATTGTGGTTCCCTGGAACTTCGAGGTCAGCCTGGCCAAAGTCTGCCCAGGTCTTCACCACCACAAGCAGTCGCAGCCCTTGTAGACCAGAGGGAGATTTGCCACCGTACGACTTTGATACCAGGACGGTGGTGGATCCTGGTATTGGTTTACTCTTAGCTAGGTTTCCTGATGGAAACTCCAGACTCCTTCTCAGCTTGGGAGACCATGCCGGGGGATAAATCCCCTCAACTATGAATTGCAGTCCAACACCCAGGAACACCTCCCATCCGCGATAAGGCGGTAAACCGGTGGGAGGTTATCCTTTTTATGCTTTGTATTTTGAATAGTACTTAACGTTGTAGAACTATCAATAGGCCAAGCGAATTCAGATGAATTTTTCTGACAGTTGCGTCAACTTATTGTTTTTTTTCTAAATAGTAGCAGATGCAACCCCTTTTTCCGTTTTTACTATAACACAACTGTCAATATTGGTATTGTTATTACTGTCATTAATCGTACTTCTATGATTTCTATTTTATTCCGTTATTTTAGACAGGAATAATCCTCGTCTCGTCAATACATCCTGGAGATCCGTCTTTAATACACGCTCTCGGAGAAGGAACCCTTGAAAACACAGCTCTATCGACGTTGGACACATTTCTGGATCAAATAAGGTTTGCAGTTAGTTGAGGCCTGGGTAGAAACCGAATATGCTTGATACTTGAATGATTTAAGTCGAATGGATATGATATTTTACCTTGTCACTGATCGGGATCGATCTACAAGTCATAGGAATCGCTGCCATTCTACATGGCAGTATCCTGATAGCTGAGCCCCAATCCTCCTTTGGCTATCAAATTGGTGGTGAAATTTAAAGTTCTTTAACACGACTTGTTTGGGCTCCCATGGGAATCACCATGAGCATTTACGACGTCATTGAGAAGGGGAGGCAGAAGATCGTTAAACCTTAGTCGAATCCACACACGAAGCCGACCATCATGGCAGATGACGATTGCAAAATAATGAGTGGATTGGAGGAAGTGCTAGTACCCTAGAGACGGGCAGCACATCTGAAAGTATCTATCGGATACTTGAATGGCCTATTACAAAGAATTATTCAGATTATACTGCAACTTTTATTTCGCCGTTATTTTGCTTCTTGTTCAATAGTACTTTCCTCTAGAGTCTTAAAGAAGCAGTGGTAGGGCGTTTCCACATCGTTATCACTACAGGCAGTAATCAGTTCATGAATGTCGGAAACGTCGATGTATAGCTTTATTCCGATTTGTCATTTTTTAAAATTACCTTTACACTCGTATGACTAAAGTTCACATATGGTACGAATTCTAGCACTCATTCGTTCATTCACGCATTCACTTCGTTTTTCCACTTTTGTTATCCACGAAATACTTATCTCCGTATGGATTCGAATGCCAACTGAGACTCATGTCTTCGTCATCAATGTAGTTGAACGCCAGACGAGTTTATTCACATTGCAATCATGGGACAGCTCCATTACAGCGTTCCCAGGCCTCCAACTACAGACGGTCGCCGGCTTTTGTGAAATGAAGGGAGCTTTTCCAGGCAAATCTGGTTACTAAGTTGCCGTGCATGAGGGGAAGTGGTCTGGTTAGCGCTGAGTACGGTTGAACCATTCATCATCGTTTGTCTACTGCTCAACATTTTTTACCACTACTCTTCCCTAGGCCATGTTATTTCTTTAGAAATATGCTTTATATATGTGTGTGAGTATAGAAAAATTGAAAAAAGGGGAAAAGGATGGTAATAAACTATGATAGCGCAGTTAAAATCGCTTTAACAGTAATCTAATTCATTCTTTTAGGAACATGTTTCCGGAGAACATCATTCAAGCGACATTTCAGCAAGTTCAAACATACTATGTGCCTATTAAACCAAAGCTTCAACGTCATAATGGAACTAGCAACACGTCAGAAGTAATCATTCACAAACCACAACTAACTTATACAAACGAAATGAATGTTCTGGGTAGGTCTATTCTTCGATTATTATTACTTACAATACTTTGTATTTGGCACTAACGCACAGCATGGGAAATGCTGATCTTTCCTGTGTTACCAGAATTTTAACTTAAGCTAAAAAAAAGTGGGTAAGAAAATAAGTAATAGTGGGACTAACAGTTGGCCACGGAAGAAGACAATGTGGAACAACGTTGATTCGGCTTATCAAGGACTCCATCTACTAGTGCTTGATCTAATGTTGGACTACTACTGGTCTTCATAGGATGAAGCCTTTGCTTGTACTTCAGCTAAGCTCTCGAAATCCTTGTGAAAGCCGGGTATTTATTTATTATACTAGTAGGTATACCGTATAAATACTACATAACTGGAGCTTTATGTTAAGTTGTTTTGTGACAGTATAAGAATTTCACCTTCTCCACGGTCTTGAAAGGTCGTGGTGTCATAGACTTCATCTTTTACCTTTTTTTTTCATAAGATTTTTTCACTCGATATCCAAATATCGAATATTTATAGTGGAAGCCCTTAGACCCGGATTTTGATAAAAATTTCAATCGCATGTTGAGTGAATAAAAATACATGAACGTGGTGTTCAATGCCATGATTACTAAGAGTTCTGGGAAAAGGAACGCATCATATGGATACTGATCAATGCTCTTGGTTTCATCTTTAATGAATCTGAAAATAAATCTATGGAGGAGATTTTTCAGTTGCTGTTTCGGTTTTTTTTTCAGGTCTGATTGTTTTCTGTAGTGGGTTCGGTGTGATTCTAAGTATTCTGGGAGATCAGGCCAGACTAATGATTAACTTTTTTATCGTTTTGGACGCGATAATCATGAAATGGATTTCGGCTTTGATGTGGTTAGTGATTTTTCAGAAGTTATTCGTTACTGTAATATAAAGGAATATAAGCTACGATGGCCATAAATATAACAGCCGAAGTGAAGTAGTAATGTCGTAATATAAGCAACCTCTCAACGGTTCACCGCCTCATCGTGGATGAGAGGTGATCCTGGGTGTTGAGGTGCGATGTACAGCGGGGAGATTCATCAATCCACCAGGGTCCCCCACGTTGAGAACGAGTCCGGCGTTTCCATTAGGAAGCACAGCCAAGAGTAAACCAACACCAGGATCCACCACCGTCCTGGTCTCAAAGTCGCATGGTGGCAAATCTCCTTTTGATGCACAAGGGCTGCGACTGCCTGGGGTAGTGACGACCTGAGGCACGCTTTGGCCTGGCTGACCTCGGAACTCCAGGAAACCACGATGGCTAAACCAGCAAAACTTCGAGAAAATGGAATACTGGTGTCCGCACAACCAGTGATGACGGACCATCCAAGTATTCAAGTATAATATGAGCAATGCAACGAGGATAAGACGAAGACATCTTCACTTAACCTTAAATTGTTTCTGATTTGCCAATGGCTTCTAAAATACCACCAACTGTATCGCTGTTATTTTTGTTCTTCTGCAACTCAATGTCGATGCTAAGGTGTTATCCAATCGGAATCTTATCGTTGGTTTGCAAGAACATTGTCGACATTGACAATTTGACAGAAACTGCTCAAGGTAAGCTTTTTGACTAGTTATTGATTAGGACCAAAAATCGATACTAGGTCATCTGCTGACTGTTATATAGTTGTAATAAATAAATTATATTAACAATAGTATAGATATAATATATATATGCATAATACAACACGTTAGTATATGTGTTAAGTAGCACAAATGACAATGTAAACACGATTTATTCATGTCGCATCTCCCTTTTATCTTCCAGCAAACGTCAAAATCGAGCAAATGCCAAAAAACTATAAACTAATGGTACTGTTGACTGGTAAAAGTCAGGCGAAAGAGTTTTAAAGGTCATTTATGAATTTGTAAAGTAGAAAAGAAAGTAACAGAAGCAAGTTTACTAGTGATTTATGTTAAGGAGCTGAAAATATGAAGCAATCGATCTAGCTGATATTGGTAAAACTAACGTTCCAAAGTTGAAGTTCGCTTCATAGAATGAGATGAGTGAAAAGTCGGTGGTTACGGACCATACCGATATCCTACGACAACATTACGCCAAAGAAAAATTCGGCACCTTTGCGTTTTACTTTCTTTCTTTATTTATTTTAGCGCTTGCGATGTATGTCGTGACGGTGATCTGTGGTCTTATGATACATTCACTACTTACACTACCACTTCTTTACTTCATAGTAACTCGGAAGAGTCCATTTGCTTATATGACGGGAATGCTGCAAGCACTTGCCACTGCCTTCGGGACGGCTTCCAGGTGAGTAAGTTATTTTGGGTGATTTTGTCGGAACAGGAATGAATATTGCAAAACGAGGATTTGCTTATTTATTTCCGGATCAGTGACTGCGCACTAATGTTTGAGCAACAGTAGGGATCATTTTATTTGGAACATTGTCATAATGAGAAACTTTGAGAATTAGTTCCTTCAAAACATTCTCTCGGTATCATATCGGCTTTATATGAACTACTTGGTTCTTCGGAAATTATTGACGGATTTGTCACTTAATCTCGTAGGTGGTTTAGCCTGAGTTTTCTTTCGAACCTCGTGCCATTATACACCAGTGAAAAAAACTTCCTTTATGTAATTCCACCATTACAATAGAATTATAGTATAAATTGCATTTTTAAAAATTCCAAAGTTAAATAAATGGGATGTTAAAACCGTGGTTTCAACAAATTTATCTCTACGAACTAAAGCTCGAGCCTAATGCGATGGAAACGACTTCAAACAGAAACGGCTATCCAGAAGCGCATTCGAAGAACGGTTGATCTGATTGAAAAGATTATTTTTTATCGTCTTTACCAGTCAAGTGTCTATTTTTAAATGTGATTTTAAACTTTTATATGTTCTTGAACTGTTTTAAGTCTTTGTATTCTTACAAGGGGGTGGGTAGCACAGCGGTAGTGATGTCCGTCATCAGGAACATGGTTCTAGTTCGATTCCACCCCGTGCCAACCAAGGATGTCATCTCTCCAGAGTCGGGAAATTGGTGCCGGACTTGTCTAGGAAGAAATTACTCTCTTCAATCTAACTGAGAACGCTCCAGCCTGGCTATCTCAGGACTTCAGGGAGGATTTCTCGATCAGCATTCAACAACATTCAAGATGAAATGAAAATCCTTAAGCAGCAACCTAAGCCACACCTTAAAGTTGAAGGATCTTCGTGGATCATGGATGTGAGGAAACGAATCGAATGTGAGAAGTGCTGGGATCCTCACAGTAGACGTGAAGACGGATCAAATAATATAAGAAGATAAGAAAATCTACGCTTGCAAACACTTGGTTACTTCGAAACATGAGTTGAGCTCAAACATAAGAAATGCTGCTCAAAACCTCTAAAAATTCTATAGTAATTACATTATCGAAATCAAGTGTATGGACGAAGTGTTCCATGAAGAAGTGAATTGCGCAGTTCGTGCTACAAAGTTTGAACTCTCTATTTCCTTTATTGGAATGGATAGTGATAGCGGTAACATTCATTATGTGGTCACTCCAACCTACCGCGACACTGGTTCGTTGCCACCAATATGCCATCCAATCTCTCACCTTAGATCGACAAAGCTGGTGCCAAACTTGTCTGGAGGCGGCGCATTCCCTTCAATCCATGTGGGAACGCATTCCCTTCAATCCATGTGGGAACTCTCTAGCTGGGCTATGGTAGAATTTCAGGGAGAAACGGTTCGATAACCATTCAACGGCATTCGTGATGAAGACGAAAAAAGGAGTGCTCAAGGAGTAACCGAAACCAAACGCAGAAATGTCCGAAAGCTTTCAGAGATGGCGGATGCCTTGAAAGGAATTGCATGCTAGAAATGCTGCGATCCTCACTGTGTCATACAATGGTGGTGGTTATCTATTAATGAGGATGATAAAATTTTCCTCGTTTGATGAAACGCACTTGGTAGACCAATGATCTATTTTAAGAAGCATTTGTGCGAAACACAAAAAAATGCAATCCACCTTGGGGGTTGCTAGTTGGATAGTTTTCTCTGACTTCCAAAGATAGAATTATCACAAGCCGTCATTGCGACCAATCGCCCGCTGGATACGATACAGATTTTTGTCAAACCTCGTGTCTTTTCCTATTCAGATCTCCATCTGCCTGTGCAAGTTGATGCTGAGCCTGTTTGAGGGATAAACACATTGAAATGATGGATTTGTAATCAACTGCAACTCATTGTTAACAAATGTGCATTCAATTACCTCTACGGTCGTGCGAATTGAATCTAATGCATGGCGTGTACCTGAGCATCGGACGTACACCGGAAGGCTTATTCTTTATAAAACGATCATTGTGGTTATTTGTGTCTGAGTGTTAATTTTGTGACATCACATTTTGTGTGATACACGTCATCTCAGCTAAGCATTTTCTTCAAAAATTTTTCCCGTTTCAAGTTCTCTCCATTAATTTCAACGACGCTAACCGTTTGATTTTATACGCTCATCCTTTGCAATAAAGAAAAGCACTCTCCATTTATCTGCAAAATGCAAATGGGAACGATCCAATCCGGTTATCCCAGAACTCCGGGGCGAATCGGCTCGACCAGCATTCTACGACATTCAAGATGAAATGAAAAATGAAAATTCTGAAGCAGTAGTCGGAGCCACACGTAAAAGTTGGAAGATCATCGTGGATAATGGATTCGCGGAAAGGAATCGAATGTGAGAAGTGATGGGATCTGCACAGGAAACGAGAAGACGTAGAAGGGTCATATAAGATAATACAAAATGAAAAAATGGTTTTCATTCCGATTTTTAAACTTTATTTTGGGTCGAAATATGCCACTTTGAAGATGCAGAGTTGAAATGCTTATTTGGATACTAGTGTGGCCCATCTTCACTGGCTGTTTGGGCTCCAGCATAATTTTCATTCTCCTGAAATTTGCTGGTCTAGCCATTGTGGAGTCTTGAGGTCAATCTAGCCGAAGCTTTGCTCAGCTCGCCATCATGCCAGGCCGTGTTGGCCCTACTGGATCAAAGGGAGATTTGCCACTATGCGACTAGTTTGACACGAGGAATGCAGTGATTCCTGATGTTGGTTTACTCTTATCCGGTGCTTCGAATGGAAACGTCGGTCTCTTTCTCATCTTGGGAGACCCTGCCGGGGAACAAATCCCCTCGTTGTACATCGCAGTCCGACACCCAGGAATACTACCCAGGTACGATGAGACGATAAACCGTCGGAAATCAGCGTTGAAATATAGCATTAACAGTTCTCAGGACCGAGTTAACCTCGGCACTGGATTATAATATCGTGCTTTTGTACAGGAGTAAACGTGTTCTGTATAACGCCCTTGAAATTGCTGAGGAAGAAAACGACGCATTTATAATGCGGCATTAATTTCTGAATAACTTAATTTATGAGGAATCTGCATAAGGAATTACAAACCTACTCACTGTAAAAGGTGTTAGTTTAGTTGCTCTATATTATGAGAACTGAAAAATCGTTGCAATATTATAGTTACCCAAACATTGGTACGGTGGGAAGATGGTATTCAATGAGATGAAGTTCACGCACAGATGATTACAATATTATTTCTTCATTATATATTTTAATATGGGCATTTAAGATTACGAGTAGTGTTCGTTTAAGCAGTTTCCATCGCTCCAAACAGTTGTATGTAACAAAATGAAGGACATAACTGCTTAGCTGAGCGAGGAAGAAAGGAACAGTTTGCAAAACTTACAAAAATCATTGAATTTTTGGGCAAGGCAAAAAACAATTGCGCCTTGACTCCGTTATTTTTCACTAAGACAGAAGATTGTCTTAGCTAGACAGCAAATCAACTTCCTCCGCCGCTGTTTTCAACATCGAGTCGTGCCGAAGTTTATAAAACGAAAGCGACTTCACGAGATGTGCGGTCAACCAGAGGGCAGCCAACAAGTACGAGGCATCGAAATGGAACTACTTCGAGCTGCACTACGAAGCAAGCAGAACGAGATGTTTGCCAGAATGAAGAAGTGTGCAACGAAGGAACATTTTTGTGCTTTGTATTTGGAGGATCGCCTTTGGAGGAGGATAGTTGGTGGGTCAATATTGATATGCGATTTTATTAGATCTAATGCCAAAATAACCTTACAACGGAAATTCGAAAACCTTTTGGGTAATTCACACGTCTCAGCTTCAAGAAACAACCGCAAACGAATTCCTTACGTTTCTGATAATAGTCAAAATGGGGTTGATAATGCACCAAGAAAATCTAGGGTCACCGTGATTGGGGGTATAACAATATCTGAGAATGCCCACTCGCTATTAGAATTGGGCCCAAGTTTTGCACCATCACAGCCCATTTCTAAAACGACCCTGCGTAGGATAGCATGCAACCTTTATGAGCTTCAAGATCGACTCCGCTATCAGGCCAAGTAAGAAACATCAAATAGAG